CCCTCCCACCCCCAGCCCACACACGCCTTCCCTGGTGCCTGCCACCAAGCGCACCTGCTCCCTGTGACTCACTCAGGCTTACGCACTCCTGGTGGACGGCAAACACCAATCCACCTCCCCTCAGCAGCCTCCTCTACCCCAAGGCTCTGCAGGGACCCTACACGCCACCCCCTTACCCTGGCCCCCTTTGGTAGTAAGAGGCTGAAACGGTAGATCCCGTGGAAACCAAACAGCAGCTATGACCAGCAGCAGCCACCATTAGTAGCCCTGATGCACCTGGACATTCCTGGCATGGACCTGGGATACAGCCCACCCTACGAACAGGCCCAGAGAAGGCTCGAAGCCAGGGCATCTGAGTGACACAGGGCCTCCTGTCATGCTGCGAGGGGCCTGCAGAGGGCAGGAACGACCCCACCCTTGGCCCAACACCCCACACCACCTGTTCAGAGATGTCAGCACAACCACCCCCAGGGCCACCACCCACCCCATCTGTCCCCTCCATGCATGTGTGGGTGCTATTCTCAGCCCCAGGCTCCAGGACTTAGGCCATCGACAGAGGGGTGGACTCTGCCCCTCCAGTGCACCGCCTCCCACAGACCCCTCATCGGCTGCTTCCTTAGCTCAGTGGGGGAACGGCCCGCGTGGAAGAGCAACAAAGCACGCGCCCAGCCCACAGCTCAGCAGGGTACAAAGCCAGGGCCAGGGGAAGAGAGAGTCAAGTACCCACCTGCACTGGGACCAAGAAAGTTCAGCCCTGGGTGCCCACAAGCTCCACAAGGAGACCCTTCTTCCTTAATGATGCCAGCCCATGCTGGCCTTTCAAATGACCTCTTCCAGGCAGGCTTCCCTGACTCCACCCCATGCACAGGGGCTCACTTGCCCCTCCAGATGCCCTAAGCCCTTTGGATATGTCTGTTTCTATCAGAGAAGTTCGACCTAAATATGCAAACAGGTCATTCATTTATTTCACCAGTTGGAATCCTCCATGTCCACATCTGTGAAATTAGAACTATTAAACAGTACTTAAAGGAGATAAGATATGTGGTATTTTTTTCCAAACACATTATTGCTACTATTTCGGTTATTGTTACTTTTGTTATTCAAAGGAGCAACGCCCACAATCACCTTTAAATAGCTCCCACCCAGTCCAGCCCACCAAAGTGCAGACAACCCACACATGGCCCAGCAGTCAGTGGGGAGGGGGGCCTCACCCCGGTCCCTGTGCTCACTCCCAGGCCGCCCTCTGCCCCAAAGCCATGCTCGAGACGTCCCTGCCTCAGCCCTGGACTGTCCACAAGTCCCCAGTACCTGTGAGGGCACCGCAGGGACCCCCAACTTCACAGTTGGGGAATCAACAGGTGAGGACTGGCTAGTTCAGTGCTCCCCAGCAGACGAGGACTAGTTCCACTGCATTTCACTAGTGGAGGCAGGGGGAGATTTGAGAAGGGCCCGGAGGGGAAGGGGTGTTTGACCACCTGGTAATCCAGTAATCCGGTGGAGAGTGAAGGCTGGAGTCAGGAAAGCAAGTGGGACCACCCACAGACTGGGGGACGTCACATGGCTGCCCCTGCCCCTGGGAGATGGAATGAATATTCAGGGGCCAGGACAGGCTTTTGCAGGCTTCCTTCTGCTGATCCTGCATCCTGTTTTTCTGCGCTTCTGGGGGGAGGTTAAAGCAATGGGTGGGCAAGGGGCAGACTGAGGGGGAAGGCACCACCCCCCCAAGCCCCGGCAGACACAGGAGGTCGGTGCACAGGAACAGAGGGCTGGAGGCCTCGCTGGCGCCGGGGACAGCTCAGGGGGATGACGTGGGGCCCACAGAGACCTGGGCATGTCATCACTTCTCAGGTCTCAGAGTCCTACCTCTATAACCAAAGGAGGGAAGTGAGGACCAGGTGACCGTGAAAGACCTGTCCAACTTGGCTTCCCGGGGCTCATGCAGACCATCAGCCTTGGAACCCCTGTCTCACCAACTAAGGAGGGACCCCAGGGATCTCTCCTGCATCCCTCCACTCAACACATCCAAGCTCCCACCAAGGTTCCAGAAGGGCTGAGGCAGTGAGGACAGGGAGGGATGGCAAAGACCCCCCAAAATCATAGCAAACACCAGAACACCCTCTATGCCTGCTGGAGAGGGTTTCATGCCCACCTGTCCCTTCCTCCCCTGGGGCCCTCCTTACCAGAAGAAACACAATTCAACACAAAGGGGAAGTTGAACAGCCAGACAGAGTTACCAATCCTTTTTAAAAAAAAAAAATTTAAAAATCATGGGAAGGGGCCAGGAGAGGCACACAGGAAAGATCACAGTGGGGCAAGGCCTGGGGATGGACACCCGATCCCAGATTCTGAAGGTTGGCCCCTGGCCACCCTGTGCTACAGCTCTGGACACTTCTGGATCGTCTATAAGCTGGAAGGGATTCTGTTGCCTACAGGGAGAGGAAATCAGAGTGGGAGAGCTGAAAGGGTGGGCAGTAAAGGGGGGGGCATGTTGTCACCCAGCGCCCCACCCCCGCCCCCATGAGGTCCTCTCCAAGCAATGCCTCCTTCCTTCCTCCTTGAAGGCCTCAGGCCCACCATCTAGATTTCACGCTGGGCCTGGACTCCTGCACCACCGGTGGGCCAAGGTTGGCCTAGACTTGGCCAAGATGGCCCAACAAGACACACACAAAGTGCCAAGGCACAGTCGAACACCCCACACCCACCTAAGGCACCTCAGCCACCCCCACCCCAGAGTAGAGCTGGCTCCGGGAGCTGGCACCCCAACTTTCTGTCCTTGGTGTGAAATGGAGACATCATTCTCCCATTTAATCCTCGCAAAGAGGCAAACTGAAGCTCAGAGGGGATAAGTAACTTGCCCAAGGTCAAGGGCTTGAGAGCAACAGAGCTGGGATTTGAACCCGAGCCTTCGACCTTGCCACCCCGCATAAGGTGCTTTGTAAAACCTTTACCACTGCTTCTGCGCTGGAGCCTCACTCCAACTCACTTAGCATTAAGTGTCTACTGTGTGCAGGTGACAGGGTCACAGACTCACCGTGGGACCAGCCTCCACCCTCAAAGACTCTGGGTCTAGCGGGGAGGATGGTTACCCCATTCTACGGAGGAGCAAACCAAAGCAGGAAGGGTTAAGTAGCTGGCCCAGGTCCCAGATAAAAGAGAAGGAGAACAGGAGCTAGAATCTCAGGTCTCAGGATGTGCTGAGAGCGCCTGACTCCTAGAGGCTTCTCTCTCTACCGCATTGCTCAGGAGCAGCACCGCGCTGGCTGCAGAATGTGGTGGCGGCCTCCCCAGCTCTCCTGGAGTACACAACGGGCAGGGTGACCTGTGAGTGCAGTGGCACAAAGCAGGAATGCAGGCACCAGGTTCTGCCCTGCTACTGACCATGGGTTTCCCATGGTGCTGACTCAGCTCTCCCTCAAGGTAGTTTCTGCAGCTCCCTGGGCCAGCAGTGCCAGGATCAGACATGAGGATGCGGCCCCCACCGGTCCACCAGATCCAAGGCAGGGCCTCCCCCAATGTCCTCAGGAAGGGCCCGGGGCTGCCTTGGTCGTGGCCTCCTCCAGACTCACAGTCCACTCAACCAGGTGGGCTAGACAGTCAGCTTGGGGAAGGTGGTGACATTCTAGCTCAGCCAAGCCCACTGCCAGGACAGACTGCTAGACTGTCCTTGTGGGGGTGGGGAGGGGATGCAAATTAATAACCCCAGGGCTTAGTTTATATTTCAGAAAAACAACAGTATTTGGATCCTGTCCTAGGTTCAGCAAATGCATCCAATTAATTGTGGATTTTGTTTCTCATTTCAGATCAGGACTCAGCTCACACCCCCAGCCATTAGCTCATCCTTAAGTGTCCCCTGCCCCAGGATCCCCAACTCTTTCTTCGTGGGAGGTGGGAGCTATGGTGCCTGTGCTCAGCTCCTTCTCTACCTTTGGGCTTCCCGAGGAGTGCAGATCAGGCCAGCTCTGTCCAAATCTGACCCTCTTGGGTCCCTTGATTCCTGGGGGCAGCCAGGTTCCCGCCTCCCTCATGGAGCTGGTTGGTGGATGCCAAGCTATGAGGAAACCCCTGACTCAGGGAAGGGCCAGCTCTGCAGCTTCACCTTCTCCTCTGATGTGCCAGCCTCCTGGGGCAACCAAGGGTCAGCATCCCCACCACACACACACACACACACACACACACAGAGAGGCATGCATATTTGCACTTCAATAGTCTCCCCCTAGGGGAGCCTGGCTGACCTGGCTGGCTCTGTAGGTAGAGCTCTTGACCTCAAGCCCCTTAGGTGTGGAGATTACTTAAAAAAAAAAAAAGTCTCTCCCTAGCCCTGGATTCAGGGATGGGAGGGGCAGCACCTAGGAAAGGCCAACCTAGGGCCAAGTCTGATGGCTGGAAGGTAGGAAATCCCAGGGCTTCCCTGAGCCTCAGTGCTCTCATCTGCCAAATGGAACCATAATCCCGTCCTGCCTACCTCACAGGTCAGCGAGACAACGAATCAAATGAAAAAAAGTGGGTGTGAGGGTTCTTCATAGAATTACACAATGCCACAGAGATAAGAAGACTGTGTTCCCCCCCCCGGAACCCTCTAAAGCCAGCTGGACCCAGCAGAGACACAGCTCTGCCACGAGCAGAGTTCACCTTATCTCCCTTGATAAGAGGATCTCATGTTTCTCAGTTCCCAGATGGGCATGCTGGGGTTCGGAGGCCCAGCCAGGGTTCAAGCCAGGTCTCTCAAGCCTGTGCTCTTCTGCTGCACATCAGGCTCCCAGAGTAAATGAATGATGGGAGACCCCTCACCTCTGTCCCCCGCTCCATGCCCCGCATCTGGTCCCTGAAAGCACAGCCCACCTGGAACCGTGTGTCCTTCCCCAACCTCATTCAATGGGGCTCTGGCTCAGGGGGCTCTGACTTCCCTCCTGGAGGAGATGATACCACCTCCTCCCAATTAAGCTTTTTCAGCCAGTACAGGAAAAAAGAGGGAAAAAAGGTACACTGCAGCTCAATTTCAAGAATCCTGTCATATACAAAACAAAAAGCTCAAAACACAAAAGCCAGAATGGTCCATACCTGTGGGTTCTCAGGGGTTTCCCCAAGATGCTCCCTGGGAAAAAACCCGTGTGTCAGCACCCACCAGGGACCAGGCACTGATCACATCACTTCCTCCTGGGCCCTATCCACAAGGCCGTGGGGGCAGGAACTCTTGTTCCCATGTACAAAGGAGGAAAGAGGGGCGCAGCTTGCCCTGGACCGCAGAGGAGGCAAGTGGTCACTGGGGCCACGCTCCATCCTCCCAAACACACCTCTTAACCCCGGTTCGATCTGTCCTCTGTCCTTGCCCAGCTACCAATGTTCCGGGGCCCCGGGTTAGCACCTGCATCCACACACCACCTAGATCTGGCCCCGAGATAGTTAACATGTCCTGGCAGAGTGGATGCCATCCCAGAGCAGAGACTAGCGGCGCCATGGCAGATGGGGGTGGGGAGTGGGGGTCCCCTTGAGGGGCCTCTCCCGGCCCAGGTCTCCTGTGCCAGGTCTGTCCCCGGTGCCCAATGGCAGGCCCAGGCTCATCCAGGGCTCAGGCATGTTGGCGACGGTCCTGGGGAGAGGCTGAGCTGACCAAAGGGTCCAAAGAAAGTAGCAGCAGCTGTTGGAAAAGGGGCCAGTCTGACGAAGGCTCTACCGTCACCGGATCCCCCTTCCGGCCCCACAGCCTCTGATGGCTCCTCCAGCCTCAGGCCTGAGTGGAAACCCCAACGTGCCTCACCAGCCAGCGCTGCCCCCTGAGCCTCCATCCGTACAACATTACCGACATTACTGTTCCTGTTGTCCACGCCTCTCTCAGCAGTCTGCACTTACAGCCAGAGGCCCCCACCCGCTGGCATGACCCCTCCTCCCCTGAGGACCCTCCTCTTCTGAGGACCCTCCCCTGCTCTGACCCAGGAGCTAGGGGACACCCCCCCATGGCCATCTGACCAGTGGCCTGGCCACGAAGGACAGAGCACACAGGAGTGCCGGAAGAGGGGTGAACTGATGCACTGATGGCCCCTCCCAGCTGTTAGGCTCTCCAAGCCTAGTGGTGTCACCCCCCCTCAGTGTCACCTTGGGGCCCCAAAACAAAGAAGCAGTACACATGTGGGGTGGGGACTATAGGATGTTGTGCCTTTCTAGCAAGCCTGGGAAACAGACATCACCCAGCCCCTGTGATCCCAGCCCTGACAGGGTAGACTCCAGGATGGCAGCCCGACCCAAGACCGCCTTGTGCCTTCCTGGGCACACCTGGATCCTAACCTGGCCAAGCCTGAGGTCATTCCCTCAGGGGGCTCAGGACTCACCCCCTCACCCCAGGTGGGTCTCCTTTTCCTCAGAAAGCCAGGGGCTCCCTCAGCCCTAGACAGTGACGCACCGGGTTCTCGGCTAAGCCCAGACTGGAAGACAGACAAACAGACAAATTGCTCAGGCAACATGTGAGGAAGAAAGGTGAGCAGGCTGAGGCACACAAGGGTCTGGGGTCCCTCCCGGCCCTCCAGGGCCTGCTCTCCCCCACCTATCCTTTTGGTCTTGGGTCTCATCCCGACCACCCTC